TGAGGTCATGAAATAGAGCTAGATGATGACTAATCAGAAAGATTGTCTACTCAGCACTGAATTACTATCCTATCCCTAATTTCCTGTATCCATTCTAAACAACCAATCACAATTGAGCCGGTGCTGTGCACCAATCCGTCCTCTTCCCGGTCTCACACCCCAATCTGGCTCGGTTACAGGGCAGCGCTACCCACCCCAGCTCCGACCATCGTCGGCCAGATTGTAGCCATTAGTCAAGTTTGCAGATTGCCTTCCTCTCTCGGCAATTCCAGACCTCTATACAAAGCCTCAAGCTCCTACGTAAGCAGGTTACAGGGCACTGCCCCCGCGCCGTCTAGCGTCGTTCTGGCGCCAACTCAACCTGGCCATTGCACAAGAAAACTCAATTAGGAAATTAGCTAATCTAGAATGCCAACCAGAAATCAAGGATCTGATAATATCAGAATCCTGATCAGCAAAACTTTCTGATGATGAAATTTGACGAGTACCCTGAGATGATCACAAAGATGATGGATAATGATGGCGGCACTGATGATTACTTCTCTCCACCCCTCCCCTTCTTCCATGTATTCTCCTCCTCTCCCCTCATTTCCTCTTCTCCTCTCGCTGCCTCCGCTGAGCCCAACCCCAGCCCCAACGAGAGAGAGAACCTCCCCATTCCCTTCTACCTTGAGGTAACCAGTTCCCCCAAAAGGTGTACCTCAAAACTAACACTCTGACCTAGTCTGCCTCCACGAGGAGATAATGCGCCCCCATACATATCTCCCAGCCCCAGCCCAGGTCAGCTCCCATCATCTGCGTCTACTCCCTGGAGGGCAATCACCTCCCACCTTGTGTTACCCTTGCGGAGTAGCGCTCCCTTCCTGACCAACCTACCTACCAACTAGACCATAGCCTAATTGGGAGATGAGAATATAACCACCAACGCAGAGATACTACTGATTGATGAAAAATGAATAAAGAAGCCGTGATGATGATGATGATGATGATGATGATGATTGGTAGATGATGATGATGAAGGCTGATATTACCAATAAGAAGATTGAGGCCGGGGTCCTCACAGTCTACCCGGAGTGACCAAACTGAACATGCTGAGAACCGGGCTCAGCGTCCCTCATATAATGATGATGATGATGATGATGATGAATTTCTGCTGATTCTATGTAAACTGTGAGATAATAATACTAAGGATGATGATGATGATGATCTTCGACTGGAAAGCAGTATTGGGCATGAGGTTGCCCATCACAGTATGGTGGACAAACCCCATGCCTGATGCTCATTTCTGATAATCGTTAGGGACGACCCCAAACATGCTTTTTTTTTTTTTTCTTTTTTTTTTTCTGGGAACCGGGCCCAGTGACCCTGATGCTACTGATAGAGCTTATGATGATGATCATGATGATGATGACGCTATTCTATGGTAGTCCAAGAGAAGCTATCAACTATACCAGCAACACCTGTCCTCTCAATGCATAAGCAACTCTTAGCCTCCCCTGTATCAGACACAACACTTTCCAAGGCAATATCTACTTAGCCAAAAACCGGCTATAGCTGTCGTGTTCTCCCTGGCAAGACTAAACCCCGGCCCCTTAGGTTTGTCATGACAGTCTCCCCAAGTCCACCACTGGATTGCCTTCCTCCCTTGACGAGTCCCCAGATCTCTCTACCAGGCCTCATGCTCCGGCTACAAACAGGTTACAGGGCTACGACCCAGCACCGGCCAGCGTCGTTCTGGCATTGGCAAACCAAGAGAAAAAGAACAACACAGCTGTGCCAGGCGTCGGCCAGGCTTCTGCCACCTCTAAAATACTGTGTTTAAACTAGAGAGAAACTAAGATATCGCCAGGAAAGAAAAAACAGGTGAAAACTGACATGTCCATAGTG